GGTTGTTCACGGCGGAGCCCGTCTGCGTTTGTGTCGGTCGAGACGAGCTCGCCCCGTGACTAGATCCGGCCGCAGCACTCATGCCTGCGGGACATCCGCTGACACCGCTGTCCTTTTTATTCCCGTAATCCGGGTAGTTTTTCCTACTGCCGCCCGGGTTTCCGCACGAGACTGTTTGTGGGGTATTGTCCGGTGCAGATCGTTGTCCCGTAGAGCATCTACGATTATACTCTGTGATTAAACTACCGCAATATTTTGATTTCTAGATTTTTTAATTTTTGATTCAATTTGATATTTAATACTTGTTGAATACGAATAGACAGACAAAAATCTATTGTTTACAGATAGGGGGTGGAAAAAGCATGGAAAGGGATCCATTGTCTTTCGTGGCCACTTCTTAAGGGATTTCATTTCCTCCCTTCCCCCACCTTTGAGTTTCAATTTTGAAACGCTACCTTAACCTTGTCAAAATGCAATGAAACTTGGCATGATGAACAAATTAACAATTGTGATCAGATTTGTGCTTCATACTTAACATCGTAACTTGTTTAGTCATAATTGCACGTAAAATAACAAAAAAAATGAACTTTTGAACGGTGGGGGGAAGGGGGTGTGGAAAAGAGCCGGGAAAACTTTTAAGCCGCGCAAATATCCATGGCCGTCGAAAGCGTCTTCAGAAAATTTTTAGGCAACCTTTCAACTCCCTGAAGCAGGGGCGGATATAGGGTTTTCTCGAGGGGGGCGTATTTTCAAAAAAAAAATCTAAAATGTAAATAAAACTTTTGTCGACCTTTTTTATTTAGGTCGACCAACCTGGATTTCTGAAGTCTGTTTTTGAAGAATTTTCCTCCTCAAGTGAGTTTTTGAAAAAAAAGGCCAAAAAAGGCGTTTTTAGACACTTCTTAGAAAATGTTGACCAAAAATTGAAGTTTTTCGGCCTATATTCTCCCCTCGAAATTAGTATATATTGATGCCAAAGCTGCCTCTAGAAACAATTCAAGGTCAATTAGTCAAAATGGGGGACCCTTTGGGTGGCTACGTGGTCGAATCTTTGAAGGTGATGTCCCCCCCCACTCCCAACTCAAATCTTAACTGCCTGAAGTAGCAGTGCTTGAACCGCAGATATGACTTGATAAAAGGTTTACCTGTTGTCGTTGTCATGATTAGTGTTGGCGGCGGCGGCGGTTGTGGTGTCCCCGAAAGGCTGTCCGAGTCGTTGCAGGTTCTGCTCCCGTTTCTGAACTATTCTGAGTATGAGGGCGTACAGTACAGTTGAGACGACAACCGGCACGAAGTAGAACAGGACGAAGCTCATGTAGAACACGACTAGTTGCCGAGTCACGTGCAACTCGATCTCGCCTAAAAAGGAGCAAAAAAGATACTCGTGATACCGAAAATAAAAGACACTGCACTCATGACCGAGCAAAGCAAACCTCGAAATATTTAGACTGAGACATCATTCCAGATTCCAAGCTGGGTTGAGACGAACTAATTGACCCAAGTAAGGCATTATTGATTGTCAATATAATCGTTTGGTAAATCTGCTATTTAAATTGAAAAAATGATGATAGCAATGGTCGATCACGGATTACTTGAGCCAATCAGTTCATCTCAATTGAGTTTGGAATGATATCTGAGCCTAGAAGTTCCGTCGCGTGCTATGTATCCCAAACTGAGTTTTCAAAACTTTTATCGGCTCTCAAATGTTGAAGTTAAGAAACAAGATTCAAATGATTTCAAAATGCGGCTTTTTAAAAATCTAATTAGTTACTAAAAACAACAGCATAAAAAACAAGGAAACATTTAAAAATCTACAGTGTAGAGATCTATGAATAACAAAATTGTTACGTAAAGTTTTCAGAAAAGAATGCAAAGCAACCCTATTCTCAAAGTAGCGATCTAAACGAGTTTGAGTAAAGTTTTTTTTGAAAAAAGAACTTGAGCTACTTTTTCGAAAAAAGTATTGAGCTACTTTATTTGAATTAAGTTTACTTTTTTGAAAAAAGAACTTGAGCTAGTTATTCACCGTGCATTCAAGGTCCACTCAAAAACGTTGATAATTGTAAGAATCAAAAATCAGTCCCTCTTTGTTTTGAAATATTAGTCAGTTTCCGTACCATAGATTCAGGGCTGCTGTGAACATCAGATACAAGTCATCAATATCACATTTCTTGACAACTTCAGTTTAAGAAGTCTGTCGAATTCAATTGTGAGTGAAAACGTTGCAGTCAGCAGGTATAGTGCTTTACTTTTTGGCCAAATTCTTCCTTTTTTGCCACCAAATAAACGTATTGTCTATTTTTTTGATTAACTTTTGTTACTAATGAAGAATAGGCGCCCATACAAAATCAGTGGTGCCTTAAAATCAAGCAAATTTCCAAGCGACCTCAATTTTGTTTTGATGTCTCATTGTGTGTAAATTTACAGAGGATTGAATCTAATTTGCAAACAAAAATTATTAATAGATATTATGGTTATATTATGATTTAAAAATGAAAAAACCACATAAACAATAAAGAAATTGTTTTCAATTTTGGGCTTAGGGCACTAATATTTTGCAAGCGACTTAAAAATTCAATCATTCAGCTTAACATATCGTTAATTACGAAAAGCGCAGTTGGGAAGGATGGAAAGTAGTTCATAAATATTTATATCCAACAACTGATTTATTGTCAAAAATTGTCCTAAATTGACTCCTTATTGTGGAATCAGATGTTTATTAAAACAAAGACTAAAAACAAATCAACCTTTATTAATCGAAGGTTGACCTGACCGTATACTGACTCTTTACCCACAGTCGCTCGGAGGAAAAGTTATAAAAAAAACAACACGACTGCTCGTATCAGGGCGAGTCCCTGAACGTTCCGACTGCCTCTTAAGGTCTATAGAGCAGTAATAACATGCAAAAAAGAATGTTTTTTTTTTGAATTTGAGATTTTTTGCAAAATTCATCACCCCACACGCCATATAAAATACAAAATGTCAGATTTCGCTCGATAGTAACAAATCAATTATGGCAAATAAGCTTCCTTTAACTAATATGGAACGATTTCTAAGACGGATTAAATCTCCGCTTACGCGTTAATAGCGCGAAATATATCGCGCGTTAACTGTCCCAAATTGGCCAAAATGGCAATCTTTAAGCCCCCATAACTTTCCAAAAAATGATCACAGGTGAAATATTTTTTCAAATTCTGTTCAACCACAGGACAACAATACCTTTTGAATGATATTTGAAAAATCACGTGAAAAATGGCAAGTGAAAACATCGAAATTTGTCTGAAGAAAAAAAACCTACGCCAGCACAAATATTCCGTTAATTTCGTTAAACAAATCGGAACAATCTTTTTTTTTGGACTAAGTTTGAACACTTTTCGAAAAAAAGTGATCGAATATTTAAGCTCGGTTTGGTTTTTTCGGCAAATGTCGGCTTTCTAGCTAAACACTTTTGACAGAATTTTTTTATGTCACCCGAAAGCCGAAAATTATTGTTGTCTTGAGCTCAAATGTTGATAGATATTTCAACTGTGATCATTTTTCGGAGTGCTATTGATGTTTAAAGATCGCCAATATGGCCAATTAGGGACAACCCGCATCTAAGAAATGCGAAAAGAAATCAGTATAATAACAATGTTATCAATATAACAGGTTTCCATGCTGCACTTAGACAACAAAATGGATTTAAAAAAACGATTGTCAACCATTGTTCTATCAAATTTAAAAATAAAGATAGTCCATTTAAAATCAATCAAAATATATTTTCTTTCACTTCATTGTTCCGACTTCCGTAACAAAAGTAACGGAATACTTGAGCTTGGGGTGTTTTTTTTCAGACAAACTTCGACTTTTTAACTAGCTGTTTTTGAATCAATTTAATTTCTTATACCAATTTAAGATCAATTTTCGTAAAGTTATAAGGGCTTACACGTTGCCATTCGGGACAACTTGGGACAATTCACGCGCTATATATTTCGCGCTATTAACGAGTAAGCGGAGAATTAAGGAATTCAGTTGTCATATTTGCTACGTTTTTAGGAGCAAAATCTATCACATTGTGTTTTATATTGCGTGACGGGAGATTACCTCAAAATTTTTGAAATGAAAATACATCATTTCTATTAAATTAACACTGCTCCAAAGACCATAGAAGGTAATTGCAACATTCAGGGCTTCTTCCTGACGCGAGCAGTCTGTCTTTTTTAAATTTTATGCAGAAGTTTGGTTGCCTCCAAAAATTGTTGTTTTAAGGGAGCCGTTAATATAATGAATAACATGATTGTCTAAGGTAAAATTTTTCCATTATAATGTTTTTCCAGATTATTATTTTTCCGTCGAACTCTTTCCTAAGCTTAGTGTTTCAGAAACGATAAACAAAGTCAAAAAGGAAACAGGGACAGCCGACATTCTGAAAAAATATAATCAAAGATTTTCTTTAAAAAACGTGACGTTTTTTGTGTGTGGTGGGATGAGAGGAAGCTATGCCTAGAGCATTTTCAAATTACTCATAATCGTTTACTGTCTTCTTCAAAAAATTAACATAAAACTATCAAAACTAAATCAAATTTTTTGCCAAGAAAGCGCTTAATGAAGCTTAAAACCGTTTGTTCTTCGTGAAAACAAACTGTGATGATGCTTCAAAGCTTTTGCTATTATAACACCAACTCACTCAAAACAAAATTAAGAAACAAAATTAAAGCCGGATTTTATTGAAGCTAAAACAGTTTTTGAAACTTTTCAAGTCGCCTAAGTTCCGACTGAAAAGGCTTAGAATTGGTGGGAGTTAAAATATCATCCACAATTTTTATTATTTCAGTGGTCGGAACAATAACCGTTTTGAGGCCATTAAAATGCCGTCTTGACTAATTTTATGGGACTTTTCAGTCCTCCCAATTGTTTACGTCTTCCCAAGTCATTAACAAAAGATCTCTCCCAAACTCGAATTCGCAATTAGTGTTCTGGTTATTTTAAGCTTTTTTGAGCAAACTGTCAGCGCCGTAGGCGAATTAGAAAACAAACATGTAAAAAAAAAAGAATTTTCGAGCCTTCTTTTGAAAAACCATGGCCAAAATTCGCGTTTTTTAGCGCGCTCTCCTTCCTCAAAATTAGTAAATAGTGGCGTCAAAAGCTACTTTGGAATATTTTTAGGGTCAGTCAGCCAACAATGGATGTCTTAAAATAGTACCAAAAGGGGGTTCTTTGGATAGGGGGAAGGGGGGTCAAATCCCCGCCTCACAAAATCCACCCCTGGTGAAAGCTATTACAACTATATTAAGGTGCTGAAATTTTTGAAATGAAAATACATCATTTCTATTAAATTAACACTGCTCCAAAGACCATAGAAGGTAATTGCAACATTCAGGGCTTCTTCCTGACGCGAGCAGTCTGTCTTTTTTAAATTTTATGCAGAAGTTTGGTTGCCTCCAAAAATTGTTGTTTTAAGGGAGCCGTTAATATAATGAATAACATGATTGTCTAAGGTAAAATTTTTCCATTATAATGTTTTTCCAGATTATTATTTTTCCGTCGAACTCTTTCCTAAGCTTAGTGTTTCAGAAACGATAAACAAAGTCAAAAAGGAAACAGGGACAGCCGACATTCTGAAAAAATATAATCAAAGATTTTCTTTAAAAAACGTGACGTTTTTTGTGTGTGGTGGGATGAGAGGAAGCTATGCCTAGAGCATTTTCAAATTACTCATAATCGTTTACTGTCTTCTTCAAAAAATTAACATAAAACTATCAAAACTAAATCAAATTTTTTGCCAAGAAAGCGCTTAATGAAGCTTAAAACCGTTTGTTCTTCGTGAAAACAAACTGTGATGATGCTTCAAAGCTTTTGCTATTATAACACCAACTCACTCAAAACAAAATTAAGAAACAAAATTAAAGCCGGATTTTATTGAAGCTAAAACAGTTTTTGAAACTTTTCAAGTCGCCTAAGTTCCGACTGAAAAAGCTTAGAATTGGTGGGAGTTAAAATATCATCCACAATTTTTATTATTTCAGTGGTCGGAACAATAACCGTTTTGAGGCCATTAAAATGCCGTCTTGACTAATTTTATGGGACTTTTCAGTCCTCCCAATTGTTTACGTCTTCCCAAGTCATTAACAAGAGATCTCTCCCAAACTCGAATTCGCAATTAGTGTTCTGGTTAATTTGAGCTTTTTTGAGTTAACTGTCAGCGCCGTAGGCGAATTAGAAAAAAAACATGTCAAAAAAAGAGTTTTCAAGCCTTCTTTTGAAAATTCATGGCCAAAGTTCGCGTTTTTTGGCGCGCTCTCCCCCACCCCCCCCCCCCCCCCCCCTCTCAAAATTAGTAAATAGTGGCGTCAAAAGCTACTTTGGGATAATTTTAGGGT